TAATTATTTTCATTTTTTATTATGCCTGCATGTACGTAAGTGCACCTATGTCATGCAATGCCCACAGAGGTCAAAAGAGGGCATCAGAGTCCCCTGCAATTGGAGTTACAAATGGTTTGTAGCCACCATGTGGGTTCTGGGAATCAAACCTGGGTCCTCTGCAAGAGCAGTCAGTGCTCTTAACCACTGAGCCATCTCTCCAGCCCATAGGGTAATTTTTAATAATAGTATTTTAAACTCTTACATTTATTAAGGTGGCTGACTATAGGAATAAGAAAGGAACTGGTAGATAAATTATTGAATTTTCATTATCGACGATGAAACACTGGGGCTAAAATAGGTAAAAATGAGAGCTAATAGGCTGGTCTGAGAAGCACCTCTGTTAAAACTAAAACAGATTAAGCCAGGCGTGGTGGCATATGCCTTTAATCTCAGCACGCTGGAGTCAGAGACAGGCGGATCTCTGTGAGATTGAGGCCAGCCTAATCTACATAGCTAGTTACAGGTCAGCTGGGACTACAAGGAGACCCTGCCTCAAAAAGCCCAATAAACCAAACCAAACTAAACCAAACCAAACCAAACCAACAACACAACACGATTTTCACTCAGTTCACTGGGAAATACAGTCACGGTAGCCAGGTATGCAAGACCAGCTCTCTTTACTCAACCTTAGCTGTTTACTTCCTCTGTACATACACACACACATATGTGGGTGAATGCAGGCACATGAAAGACTTCTCTACTTAGAAAGTTAGCAAATTTCCTTGCCTAGTTAGGAACCAGGATCACCAGGAAGATCTGGGGGAAAGCCAAAAGGACCTTACTGACTTTTTATCTGGCCACTTAGAATCTGCTCAACACTCAATCTCTTAAAGTAATAGAAGTTGTTAGTAGGATCACGGTTTCTACTGTTTCTGTAGATCTCACGAGTAAAGTGCTGGCTAAAACTGAAGGAGTTGGGCCTTGCAGCACTGGGAAGGAAGGTTCCCATGTTTAGGCATTTGGGCAGCCTGATCCTCCCAGCAAGGTATGAGCAGCAGTCCTGGGGTTTCTGACCCTCTGCAGATTGATCATGTCCCTGAACAAGACCACCATTCCCGCTCTTGAGGCGGCAGCTTCTTTCTTCCTTCTTACTCATCATAAACACATTCTTAAAAAATGTCCAGAAGACATCAAATTTTACTGCCTCACATGTCTCATAGAAAATTATTTTTCAAGCCCCACACCAGAGACCACCCAGATGCCCAGTCATAATAAAACTTAAATACCGATTTTGGTACAGTCATGCAATGTGATTCTGCACAGCAACGAACAGAACAAACAATAGCTACACAGAATTATACAGACTTTAAGCAAGACACACAAGAATACACTGGCTACGATTATATTTATGTAAATGTAAGTTTACAAACCAGCCCCAACTACTGAATACTATTCAGGAATGCAAATTAGTGGAAAAACTGCAAAGGAAAACAGGAAGCTATTATTATTAAGTTCCTAATGGTAGCTTTAGGAGAGTGCGTGATGACATGAGAACGGAAACAAGGAGCTTCTAGAGCGGGCAGTGTTCTAACTCTAGGTGGAAGTTGTGACCACAGTCACCTGATGAGTAATAAAACACATTACTGCTGATATTCTTTTTATTTCAGTTTTATAAGAATTATTTTTATAAGCCGGGTGCTGTGGCACACGCCTTTAATCCCAGCACTCGGGAGGCAGAGGCAGGCATATCTTTGTGAGTCCGAGGCCAGTCTGGTCTACATAGCAAGTTCCAGGCCAGCTGGGGCTACAGGGAGACCCTGTCTCAACCCCCTCCCCCCCCAAAAGATTTTCATAATATGGACATAACCTGAACTAACCTTGCAATCAAAGAGTTACTGTTTGTAATATAAACCAGCTCACTGAGCCATGTGCTCATCTTGTGATCTGGTCACATGGCCTAATCCCTCTAGACCCTTCCTTGCTCTCCACCCAAGACTGTGTCTGAACGCATGTATGCACATTTTGACATATCAGAACATCAAAGCACTGCAAACAGTGCTTTCTCATTGAAAGCAGTGAGAGATATTTTTAACAGTTGCTTATGAGTGTGTGTGTGTGTATGTGTGTGTGTTTGTGTGTGCATTCCGTTTAGGTCTAGGGATCAGAACGGGCAAGATTATCTGATAAGATAAAGATGAGTCTGACTTTTTGTCCCTATTTAATGCTGGAAATACTATTTAAAAAACTATTTTATTTATTATTTTTATTTTATGTGCATGAGTGTATTGCCTGCTTGTAGGTAAGTACACCCGTGTTGTGCAATGCCCACAGAGGACAGAAGAGACTGTCAGATGCCCTGGAACTGGAGTTACAGACAGTTGTTAGTTGCCATGTGGGTGCTGGGATTCGAACTCAGATCTTCTGCAAGAAGAACACTGCAAGAACAGTCAGTGTTCTCTAATCGCTGTACTATCGCTCCAGCCCCTGGAAATACTATTTTAGTAAAGAATGAACAAAGCCCTTGTTCAAGAGCACAGCTCTGAGACATATCCTAAGAAATAGGTTCTCAGCAGTTTCTGTCAGTGCTTGGCCTTAACATGGATGCTAAACTCCAGGTTTTCATTTTTGTTTTTTATTAATCCATAGCCATAATGTGGTTTAGAAATACTGAATAGTTTTACAGAGAAATTGCAAATACAGTACACTCTATACAAATGTTTCCTACCATTAGCATCTCATATCAGTGTACGAATCATAACTCATGAGCCTATACTGAAACATTTTTATATTTCATTCTTTATATTTTATGTGTATAAGTGTATTGCCCGCATGTATGTGAGTGCACCCGTGTTGTGCACTGCCGCAGAGGTCAGAAGAGGGCTTCGGATTCCCCTGGAACTGGAGTTAAGGATGGTTTGTAGCCGCCATATGCGTGCCGGGAATCGAACCCGGGTCCTCTGCAAGAGCAGTCAGTACTCTTAACTGCTGAGCCATCTCTCCAGCCCCATACCAACACATATTAATATCCCACAGTTTATTCAGATTTTCTACCTTTTTTCCTGAAATCCTTCCATTCCAGGCTCACACCCAATATATAATATTTTATTTGGTCATTATGTCTCTTTAGTCTTGTCTTTTTTGTCTCTTTTTTTTAATTGAAATTTTGTGTATTTCACACATAAAATCATCATTATACTCCCTCCTTCTTCTTTGATACTGTCCCACAGTCCCCTCCCACTACATTGGAGGTCATACATTCTGTCATTTGTGTTAAGGTCTATTATGTAAAGCTGGTGTCCTGAGATGTCCTTCGTTGCAAGTTCATCCACTTGGGGGGGGGGTTTAGTCAGCCTATCTAGAGTCCCTCCCTTAAGAAGATCAGCTCTTCCTCACCCAGCAGTAATCAGCCGCCAATAATTCTTTGACTAAGATTGTGGCCTGCTGTTCATTTCCACAGTTCTGTGCTGGGTTTTTGTCTGTCTAAGTTTGCATGGGTCTTGTGCATGCTGACACCATTGCTGTAGGTTTGTATGACAAGGGTCCCAGGAATCTGTAGGACCATTTCCATATGATCACGTACCTCATCCCTGACTCTTTCAATCTTTCTGCCCTTCTTCCACAATGGTCCCCGAGCCCTGTGTGAATGGACCTCAATATAGGAGTCCTGTCCAAGGACCCACACTCTGCAGACTCTTATTCTCTTCGTTTTGGCCATTTGTGGCCTTTCGTGTTCCTGGCCTTCTGTTGCACGAGGGAGCTTCATTGATGAGAACTGAAAGATGCATTAGTGTTCTTTTCATCCCTTGTTCTATGTTCTGTGAGCCTTAGGTGTAGAGATTGCATCCTAGATGCCACTTAGGCTTGGGAAATTCATAGAGAATCTCTGTGTGTGATCAGTGATGTAACTCTGTAATAATCTCTGTCTGTTGAAAAAGATGGGTGGTGACTGTGATTCTTGTCTGTAAATTTAAGGATCCATATTTTGCACATAGTGAGAAACTAAATTTGTCTAGGGATATGAGAACATTGAGGTTTTCTCTAAGATTTATGACCTCTCCAGATATGTGTATTTGGCTTAGTTTATAGTACTACACATGAGTTTCCTCCCATTGAGTGGGCTTTAAGTCCATTAGGTAGCTGTTGATTACCCC